GGGACCTTGGAGGTCATCTAGTCCAACCCCCTGCTCAGGCAGGAAACCCTATACCATTTCAGACAAATGGCTGTCCAGTCTCTTCTTAAAAACTTCCAGTGTTGGAGCATTCACCGCTTCTGGAGGCAGGTTGTTCCACTGGTTAATTGTTCTGACTGTCAGGAAGTTTCTCCTTAGTTCTAGGTTGCTTCTCTCCTTGCTTAGTTTCCATCCATTGCTTCTTGTCCTGCCTTCAGGCGCTTTGGAGAATAGCCTGATTCCCTCGTCTTTGTGGCAGCCCCTGAGATATTGGAATACTGCTATCATGTCCCCCCTCGTCCTTCTCTTCATTAAACTAGACATACCCTCAAATTCCTACATTAACACAGCCAAACCTTGATTCAGATATTTCAAGAAGACCCAGTTAGAGTCCAACTCTGATACAAGGGTGAAATCCCCCATTTATTCTAGCTCTTACTATTCATGTTTATGAAATTTGGTAAGGAAGCACAAAAATGTAACTTTTAACATGCTGAATATTTCAAACTGTAAATGAACCACATATTCAAGCACGTGTTTAAGGAAACGTGAATGAATTTTGTTAAATCACACAAAGAAGGCAAGCGATGGATATTTTTCAATTAATCATCTAATGTGCTTAGAAATTTTCATTCGCTGTATTGTTTAGCATTCACAATGCATCTAAAACACAACAGAAATAACAAGCGTATTTTATATGAAATTTCTAGAGAAAAAGAACTGCTGACTTCTATAAAAGCGTAACTTCAACATGCATTTTTAAGGCCACAGTCAATATTTTCAAAACTTTTAATTATACTCAAACAGCTGGCAGCATAATTGACTCAAAGCCCCAGATTACCTTGATTGCTGTGTCATTATCTCTAATCAGCTGCTGCTTCTCATCTTCAAACTTTTGTAAAACATCTTGCAGACGCCTTTCTCCAGCAAGTTGCCGCTGGTTGCTTTCCTCTGTCAGAGAGGAAATGGTTGTCTTAAGTTCAGTTATGATCTAAAAAGAAAACAGCATGCTAAAACTATTGCAACAGAAAGAAGTTATACATTTTGCAATGTATTTATCATTGACACAAGAATTTGAGTTGCCAAACTCAACTGTTATGTGCCAGCGAGCAGAAAATTCTACAGAGAGAAAAGAAACATTGAGCTTGGAACAGCATAAACTGCTAACAAAAACATTTAGGGGAAAATTTTCCACTATGAAAGTTCCTCAATAATCTGCACACCAGAACAAAGCACACTTGTTATGTGAAAAACAGCAAATATAGGATTCCAATTTTCCACTTTACTGTAATGGTTTGAAAACTGACAGTCTGAAATGCTTCTGCACGTATACTGAGAAATGCAGCAAAGAGAATATTGAGTTAACCACCAAAGAATGAAAATGTATATTATCGTACATTATACTACTGTACAGTATAGCCAGTCTGCCTTTTTTGCGTGAGAGAGACTAGTTATCAATACATTCATTTAGCCATTTGCAAGCAAATTTTCCCCAGTAATCTCTTCTACCTGCTCTGAACTACATAGTGTATATTTAGCACTGCCCTAAAGCAGCATTCATTTCAGTCTCCATATTACATCTTTGGTGGGAATTCTTTCCTTCCCAAACCATTACTGGGAACTTTTTATAGCTGAGATTCTTTTCTTGAGGAAAACAGTGAAACCCTAGTTTATTTGGTCAGGAGTGGGTAATCTTAATCTACATTAATAAATATTCTTTAAAATATTGCTGCCACCATCCCCAAATGATAAACTGAGATTTTTCTTGTAAGGTTATATTCTTTCTGTTTAATCTGGAAAGATTAACATAAAGGATTGTACTCTGTACTCTTTACATAATCAATTGTGAATGATTAAAACTTTATTTAACAGTAAAGACTTTACCAGATTTATTGAGATGAAAAGGGTTTCAGTTTGCAAATAATATATCTCAGTGTATACTAGACTGAAGACAGCCATTCTCTGAACTAGCAAAGATGCAAGTCTCTTCACTATTAACAGGGTAGTTTGCCATTTGTAGTGGGATTTAGTGGGATTTAAACCAAATCAGTGTATACGAGCACATATACACATCTATAAATAGAAACAGATAGAAGAAAAAAAGTAGTATAGTTCTTCAATTATAAGGAAAAACTGAGAAACCCAAGGATACATATGAATCCTCCTTGGATAAAAGCAGCAGCAAATAAAAGCTATGCTACCAGATAATCTTTTTCAGAATAGGGTAGAAAAAAGCCATATGGAATTCCTTGTAGATCAGTGTTTTTTAAACTTGGAAATGTTTTTAAAATTTCAATTCCCATAATTCCCCACCAAGTGAACAACCGTAATGCAGTCTACATGGGCACAACATTCACAAAAGATTCACGTTCTTAAATAGCAGCAGGATAAGAAAAATCAACTTAGCTGGGGAATTCTGGGAGCTGAAGTTCATACATCTTAAATTTGCCAAATTTGAAAAAACACTGTTGTTGATGAAGCAAAAAATGGAACATACGATTTGCAGACGGAGTCAAGGCATGCATGCTGGCTTGAAGGGGCATTTTGTAACAAAAAAGCAAAGAATAATGTATCAATTCTGGCCAAAGTAAAAGCTAAAGTAAAAATCAAAAATTCAGAATGTTTATGAGGATAAGTAAGAACTTGGAAGGTACCCATTTATTTATTTATTCATAACTCAAGGCAGCAAACAGACACAATATTCTTTCCTTATTCTATTTTTCTCGCAATAACAATCCTGGAAGGTGGGTTGGGCTGGGAGAGAAGGACTGGCCGAAAGTCACTCAGCTGGCTTTCATGCCTAAGGCAGCACTAGAACTTATATTTTCCTGTTTTCTCGCCTAGTACCTTAACCACTTTTAGGAAAATCACACAAGTTTTGAGGATGGGAACCAGACTTAGATTGATTTAAACATCAGTGTCCTGGATATGTTGTTTAAGAACAATTTTGGTTCATAAAGACACATTCCTGGTTGCTGCTGTTTTTATATTTATATATCATGTCAAGGAATTGTGCAGGTGTCCAAATGAAGTCAGAGACACTGACACAAACTTGCAGTTTTATATAAGTAAATATATTTTACATCTATATTTACAGCAATCAAGACAGTCAGGCAAACAAGAGCATCATCAGGTAAATCACAGAGCATACAGGGCACCCAGAAGAAAAAGGTGGGGAAACAGGGAAACTCCCCCTCTACACCCACAGCAACCAATCACAGCATGCATTGCCTCATGCAGGAGTCAGCACTCTCCAATTAATCAACTACAGTGAGGGGAAAAAATATTTGATCCCCTGCTGATTTTGTACATTTGCCCACTGACAAAGAAATGATCAGTCTATAATTATAATGGTAGGTTTATTTTAACAGTGAGAGACAGAATAACAACAAAAAAATCCAGAAAAATGCATTTCAAAAAAGTTATAAATTGATTTGCATTTTAATGAGTGAAATAAGTATTTGACCCCTTCACAAAACATGATTTAGTATTTGGTGGCAAAACCCTTGTTGGCAATCACAGAGATCAGGCGTTTCTTGTAGTTGGCCACCAAGTTTGCACACATCTCAGGAGGGATTTTGTCCCACTCCTCTTTGCAGATCCTCTCCAAGTCATTTAAGATTTCGAGGATGACATTTGGCAGCTCAAATCTTTAGGTCCCTCCACAGATTTTCTATGGGATTAAGGCCTGGAGACTGGCTGAGGGAAGGAGGTTCTCATCCAAGATTTGACGGTATATGGCCCCATCCATTGTCCCTTTGATGCGGTAAAGTTGTCCTGTCCCCTTAGCAGAAAAACACCCCCAAAGCATAATGTTTCCACCTCCATGTTTGAGATGCGGATGGTGTTCTTGGGGTCATAGGCAGCATTCCTCTTCCTCCTAACACGGCAAGTTGACTTGATGCCAAAGAGCTCGATTTTGGTTTCCTCTGACCACAACACTTTCACCCAGTTCTCCTCTGAATCATTCAGACTTTCATTGGTAAACTTCAGATGGGCCTGTACATATGCTTTCTTGAGCAGGGGAAACTTGCGGGCGCTGCAGGGTTTCAATCGTTCACTGTGTAGTATGTTACCAATTGTCTTCTTGGTGACTGTGGTCCCAGCTGCCTTGAGATCATTGACAAGATCCTCCCGTGTAATTCTGGGCTGATTCCTCACTGTTTTCATGATCATTGAAACTCCACAAGATGAGATCTTACAGAGAACCCCAGAACGAGGGAGATTAACAGTTATTTTGTTTTTCTTCCATTTGTGAATAATTGCACCAACTGTTGTCACCTTCTCACCAAGCTGCTTGGCGATAGTCTTGTAGCCCATTCCAGCCTTGTTTAAGTCTACAATCTTGTCCCTGACATCCTTAGAGAGCTCTATGGTCTTGACCATGGTGGAGAGTTTGGAATCTGCTTGATTGATTGCTTCTGTCAACAGGTGTCTTTTATACAGGTAACAAGCTGAGATTAGGAGCACTCCCTTTAAGAGAATGCTCCTAATCTCAGTTCATTACCTGTATAAAAGACACCTGGGAGCCAGAAATCTTGCTGATTGATAGGGGATCAAATACTTATTTCAGTCATTAAAATGCAAATCAATTTATAACTTTTTTGAAATGCGTCTTTCTGGATTTTTGTTGTTGTTATTCTGTCTCTCATTGTTAAAATAAACCTACCATTAAAATTATAGACTGATCATTTCTTTGTCAGTGGGCAAATGTGCAAAATCAGCAGGGGATCAAATAATTTTTCCCCTCATTGTATAACTGTGTGTTCTGATTCACTGCACAACCCCACTGCTTCAGCTACTAAATTTAAATAGCTTAACATACCACCTTTATAATTTTTTATAAATAACTCAAGGCAACGAACATACCTAATACTTCTACCCCCCCCCCCCATTTTCCTCACAACAATTACCCTGTAAAGTGGGATGGGCTGAGAGTAAATGGCCCAAAGTCACCCAGTCAGTTTTCATGCCTAAGAATCTCTAGAACTTGGTTTTCTGATTTCTAGGCTAGTACCTTAATCATCCTCACCTGCATGAGCATCTTTATCTTTACCTCCTTAACTCAACCTTTAATCCTTTTAATGAAGATTTTCTCTCAAGCTCTTTTTTTTCTGCCTGTTCTGTTACTCTGATGCCAGGTACTCTGAAGCTTGGTTGAGAAGTATACTATTCAAGATGGTTATATGTATCATGACTACAGTTATTACTGAGAGTTGTGCAGGTTTTTGTGCCTCATAATACTACAATGCAATAAACTATCCTGCAATGGTCTATGTGTCAATAAACATGGTGGGGTGATATCCTTAGTTTGACTTATTCATCTATAACCCTATACTTTGCATGGGAATCCTGGTTCATGAAACTTTCATTTACTTATTTAATTTTTATTTATTTGTATTTATTAAATTTATATGCCACCCTTCTCACTATCCAAAGCACTATCTGGATAGCTTACAATGCAGTACAATAAAGGCAAATATAAAAACATTAAAATTAAGAAGAATTAAATAAAACTAAGAACCAATTGCACAAGCAATAGGGAGGTGGGATCTCCTCTATTACTTCACAACCACCTTTAGCACAAAGTGTTCCCATCGGGGGCCCAAGCCATCCACCAGCGTCATGTCTTCAGGGCCTTTTAGAAGGCCAAGAGGGTGGAAGCAGATCTTACTTCTAGTGGAAAGATGTTCCAAAGGCAGGGGTCATGACAGAAATGACTCTTCTCATGGATCCCACAAGCTAGAATTCCTTGACCGACGGGATCTGTAGTAAGGCCTTTCTGCCCGCAGTCACTGAAGCAAAACAGTTCCTCAGATAACCTGGCCCCATGTCATGAAGGGCTTGATAAAACAGCTCATGCAACAGAGGTGTTAATATGTGCCAACTTAGAGGTATCTAGACCTGCCTGTGTGACTTTCTGTATGAATTGTAATTTCTGAATACTCTTCAGAGTGCATTGCAATACAGGTAGTCCTTGACTTACGACCA